GAACTCAGTAGGTGGTAGAAGACGAGTTGTCGCCTCTGCCCGGGAAACTGAACAGAGGCGGTTGGAGGGGTCGCTGAAGGCAGAGTGCTGGAAGCGAGCTGGAGAGATGGCTGGGAGGCAGAGATGGCTCTGACCCCCCAAAGGGGGGTGGGCTGGAATGCCCTGGGACCCCAAGCTGGACTTAACTGAGGGGGTCCTGTTGTCTGTGCCTGCAAGACCTGTCTTGGACTGTATTCCTGTCATCCAAATAAACCTTCTGCTTTACTGGCTGGCTGAGAGTCATGGTGAATCGCAGGAAGCCGGGGGTGCAGGGCCCTGAGTCCCCCAATACTCCGTGACAGGGACAAACTCCAAATGTGGCGCGATCTACAACAAGCACTGACTCCCTCCAGACAGTTACTAGCTTGAGACAGTTACTGTCTGCCCCCTCCCAAGCCCTTATTCAGCTGGGAGTGGGCAGATGATCATACCAGTTGCATAGTTCCGGAGTGGGTGAATGCATTGGGGGAGGGAGGCCTATGAGATCAGGGATGTGAGAACTGGCAACCATCATCTGGAATGGGGAACCCCTATTGTAGCCAGCTTCTCAAGAGTGCTTTTTGTGCCAGTCCAGAGGCTGAGCTGCAGGTAGCCTGTCTAGGACTCCCCAGTAATGAGTCCAGAAAATCATCTAATCACGTCTGCTATGTTTAAAGCTGCCTTAGTTCTGTGGCTGTTTAGGAAGGACTCGTCTGCTTCTCACATGGCTTATTTGGTCTACAGAGAGATATGCCATGTGAACCCCAACTGTTCACAACCATTAGTTGGGGCTGAAGGATGGAGAAATGGGCAGCGTGTTAATGGGCAGTGTTCTGCTGACCAGAGAAGAATTTGTTTAAAATGCCCAAAGGATTGGGGCAATGGAAGGTTCAGCTGGCAAGTGTGGGGCCAATTTCAGGGTCAGGGAGGGAATAGCATACTCCATATATGAAGGATACAAGGCAAGTAGGAAAAGATGAACGTGAATTGAATGACACCAATTTGAGTGGAGGGAGTGTCTCCCATCCAGTGTCAGAGAGCAAGGCTCTTTTCTTCCTGAATGGAAGCATAGTAATGCCAGCATGCTCACACTGGGCATCCCAGGATTGATCCCATCTTCTTTATTTCTTTTCTGTCCAGAGACCTCAGCTGAACCCTCCCTGCAGGCCAAGCAGCTGAAGCTGAAGAGAGCCAGACTGGCAGACGACCTCAACGAGAAGATATCCCAGAGGCCGGGTCCCATGGAGCTGGTGGAGAAGAACATCCTTCCTGTGGAGTCCAGCCTGAAAGAAGCCATCATTGGTAAGTGTGGTAGGGGATGTGTATTTCTGGGGAGGCTCTCAGGTAACCCATCCTTTTGCCCTATGGGAAAAAATACCATGAGATTTCATTCCCATGCCAAAACTTCAGCCTCTCCAGTTCTAGGATTCTGGAATGCAAAGCTCCTTTCCCAGCCTGGATAGCAATGGAGAGACTCTAGATTATAAGGAATGCTGGGCTCCCAGAATAAAATGAGATTGATCCCCAAAGCCCAGGACTGAAGAATTGTTGTGCGATTGTGTTTCCTAACTTGTGCATTCCCTCTCTTCCTGAAAATCCCTCTGTCTGTATCACAAATGTCTTTAACCCTTCGTCAGAGAGAACCCAATGACTGAGTCAGATCAGGGAGGGGAGACAGGGCACATGAGTGAGCAGGTGTGTGGAAACAAAAGCTTTCTGTTGGTTTAAAATCTTCGGAGGATTCAACTCCTTTGAAAATAAATAGGAACGGCTGTAAATCATTTCAGTGCCATGGCAGGGGTGAAAAGGAATGCTGAGGAATATCACCCCACTCCTAATTGGGCAGGCTGTATGAAACATAGCCGCACCCTGCTGAAGCCTTGGGCAGTCACTGAAGGAATTGCCACCTCCTTCAGAGACTAATGGAGGCATGCTCGTGAGCAAGGGTGCATACGTTTCACTGAGAGGTGCAGGGCTGGGGTAGGAGCAAGCCTGGCTTCACTGTCAAGGAAGAGAGGAAGAATTATCTTGTGGTTAAGAAACTGAGCTGGGGCTTGAGAAATCTGGGCACATCACTTATTTTCTCTGTGCCTCAGCTGGTCATCTTTAAAATGGGGGTGATCATACTTCCCTGCTTCACAGGGGTGTCTTGGGGATAAATTAATGTTTGTGGGACTCACAGATACTATTGTTGGAGGGGGCCGTATATGTACAGATAGAAGTCCGAGGAACAGTTAGGGCCACCTCTTGTGATTGACCCTTGCCCTTTGTGTCTGGAAAAAGAGAGTAGAGAACATCTGGGATCCCAACTAACAGAAACTGTCAACACCTCCTTTGAGGAGGAAGATCCCTCTTCCTTTCCCAGGGGTGGGCAAACTATGGCTTGCGGGCCACATCCGGCCTGCGGGACCGTCCTGCCCGGCCCCCAAGCTCCTGGCCCGGGAGGCTCACCCCCGGCCCCTCTCCTGCTGTCCCCTCTCCCCCACAGCCTCAGCTCTGCCGCCAGCGCAGTGCTCTGGGCAGCGGGGCTGTGAGCTCCTGGGGCAGCACAGCTGCAGAGCCTGGCCTGACCCGGTGCTCTGTGCTGTGTTGTGGCGGCGGCGTGGCCTGGCTCCAGCCGGGCAGCGCGGCTGTAGTGCCGCCAGCCACCAGTGCTCCAGGCAGTGCGGTAAGGGGGCAGGGAACAGGGGGGGTGGATAGAGGGCAGGGGAGTACGGGGTGGTGGTCGGGGGTGTGGATGGTGGTCGGGGGAGAAACGGGGTTGAATGAGGGCAGGGGTCCCGGGGGGCAGTCAGGAAGGAGTGGGGGTTGGATGGGGTAGCAGGGGGCAGTCAGGGGTAGGGGTTCCGGGGGCAGTCAGGGGACAGGTGGTTGGATGGGGGCAGGGGTCCCAGAGGGGTCGTCAGGGAACGGGGG